CACCTGTCAGCGGCTGGATGGGTGCCCCACCTGTCAGTGGCTGGATGGGTGCCCCACCTGTCAGCGGCTGGATGGGTGGCCCACCTGTCAGTGGCTGGATGGGTGCCACACCTGTCAGTGGCTGGATTGGTGCCCACCTGTCAGTGGCTGGATGGGTGCCCACCTGTCAGTGGCTGGATGGCTGCCCACCTGTCAGTGGCTGGATGGGTGCCCACCTGTCAGTGGCTGGATGGGTGACCCACCTGTCAGGGGCTGGATGGGTGCCACACCTGTCAGTGGCTGGATGGGGGCCACACCTGTCAGTGGCTGGATGGGTGCCCACCTGTCAGTGGCTGGATGGCTGCCCACCTGTCAGTGGCTGGATGGGTGCCCACGTGCACGTTTCACTTTTGATCTCCATAGTCATGGTAGCCTTAAGATGCATCAGATCCATTTTTTCGCAAGGAGGCAAATACACCAACATACCACCTCCAGCACACAAGCATATATTACACACAAGGAGGCACATCTTAAAATAACAGTGGCAATTAATTATGCTAAATGGAATAAACTAAACCAAACCAAATCAAAGAATCCTAGCACCAAAATGTGGTGAATTCTGCTTAGAAGTTATTGAGGGAGTATCGTTTGAACCAACAGTTGAATGACAACAGATGACAGAAGAAGGACTAATGATAGATGAAGCATCATCACACAGGCTCACCGTATTTTTTCGTCCCAGGTGAACTAGTAAATAGACCAAGGACATCAGATATCCTAAACTAGGTCACAGGCACTAAAGTCTATAGCAGAACATCAAACTTCTAAATGTTACATGTTTTTAAGACATCACAAAATCGGTTCCAGGCACAGTAAAAAAGAGAAAGGACATAGATATCCTATATACCTGTACATTGACTTTATTTACACTGAAATATTGCTACCAAAAGTCATCATTAAGGATTTGACACATGCAATGCTGGGTAGTACACCTAATGTGTGTACCCCATTAAACAATGCAATGCTCACCGATCCATCACCCACGACTTCTGTCATAGCCATTAGGGGTTGTTTTTGTGCCGAGGCCGTGGCTGTCTGTATTAGTGCCTTTGCTGTCTTGGCGGGTTTATAACCCAAGTAGAATTCTTCTGCTGCTCCCTGATCTTCATTGACAGCACTTTTACCACCATTGATTACCCTGTAAAAATATGAATTGATTACCCTGTAAAAACACAAATTGATTACCCTGTAAAAACACAAATTGATTACCCTGTAAATACATCAACTGATTAGCCTGTAATTACATGAATTGATTTCCCTGTAAAAAAAAAAAAAAATACCTCTTTAAAATCAATTTGTTAAACACTAAAACAGTAAAATAAAAATGATTACCCAATAAAATCATGAATTGATTTCCCTGAAAAACATTGATTAACATGTAAAAACATGAATTGATTACCCATTAAAATCATAAAGTGATTAACCTGTAAAAACATGAATTGATTACACTAAAAAAAATATGTATTATCCTATTAAAAACATAAATTGATTAACCAGTAAAAATATGAAATAAAATCATTAATTGAGTACCCTAAAAACATTAATTGATTACCCTGTAAAAAACAAATTTATTACCCTTTTAAAAAAACAAATTTATTAACCAGTAAAAATATGAATTGATTACCAAATAAAATCATGAATTGCTTACCCTGTAAATACATGAAGGGATTACCCTGTAAAAATATGAAGGGATTACCCTATAAAAACATAAAACAGTATATATTATTATACCAAAAGAGAACAATAACACCAACAGTGAAGATGATCAAGATTGCAGGCCATACATCTTGTCACCTGCTTCAGTAACTCCAAAACCAGGTGTGCTGGCTCTTTGTTTACTTTTCTAGAAAGACTCAAAATAAGGGAAACAAGAGATCCCAAAGGGATCTTGGCGCCCACCATTGTACCATCTTCATTAGTTCTTTGTCAGTTCAATCTTTTCCCTTCTTTTCTCTTATCTGTTTGATCGAGTCATGTTAACAGTAAATTCACCTTGAGGTAACTTTTGATCTAACCTTAATACTGCTGCGTATAAAAGACAACCTTCAAAGTGAATTTGCCATTTCACATATTTACTAGTACAGTACTTAATGTGAAAGAAATAGAATCGATCATTGCAATATGAGAAAGATCTGTTTATTTCTTCCTTCGCGCATTTTGTTTTTATGATCAGTCTCAAAATATAACATGCACAACGAGGGATCAAGGGGAACCTACATATCAAATTTGAGAAAGATCCTTTAAGTTCTTCCTGAGAAATAGCACTAAATGTAATATTATCAAAGATGGCCACCGGTCTTCCATTTTGTTTATCTGATCAGATTCCTGGGAAATAGCACTAACAAACCTTAAATTCACAAGAATTCCAAGGGAGTGGATATGTCGCCTGCTCAGCGCTTTGAGTAAGAAAAGTGTTTTGGCTTGAGTTATCACGTAAACAGAAAAGCCAAAATGCGGAAAGTTGAAACTTGTTAGAAAAACCTATAATATATGTTAAACATTATTGCTTCTAGCTATAGCATTAATGTACAAAATTTGAAAGGAATTGATCAGAAAATAAAAAAGGTTCTTGCATTTACTACATAATGCCCTTATTTGGCAACAAATGAAGTTTGAGTTTGATCCGCCCAAGGAAACTCAAGTTATCACACGAAAACAGATTTTCTATTTATAGTTACAGTGACCTTGACCATTCGCCTTCGTACCTGAAAAGCAATCCCAAGCAAGTACTTTTAGTAAGGAAGCACTGCATGAAGTTTGAGTTTGATCGGCCGAAGGAAACTCAAGTTATTGCACGAAAACAGATTTTCTATTTATAGTAACAGTGACCTTGACCTTTGGACCTAAAAAGCAATCCCAAGCAAGCACTTTTGGTAAGAAAGCACTGCATGAAGTTTGAGTTTGATCGGCTCAAGGAAACTCAAGTTATCGCACGAAAACAGATCGTCTTTTTATAGTAACAGTGACCTTGACCTTTGACCTTTTGACCTGAAAAGCAATCCTCAGCAAGCACTTTTGGTTAGGAAGCACTGCATGAAGTTTGAGTTTGTTCGCCCGAAGGAAACTCAAGTTATCGCACGAAAACAGATTTTCTATTTATAGTAACACTTTAAGTGACCTTGACCTTTGATCTTTGGTCCTGAAAAGCAATCCCAAGCAAGCACTTTTGGTAAGGAAGCACTGCATGAAGTTTGAGTTTGATCGGCTCAAGGAAACTCAAGTTATCGCATGAAAACCTCTGTGCGGACGACGCCGACATAGCAATACCTATGTGTCACCAGCTTTTAGCAGGCGACACAAAAATCAAAGATTTGTTAATCCGATCAGTCTCATAAGAAAACATGCACATTAAACTACTGTACATACCAAGGGGAACCTACGTGTCAAATTGGAGAAAGATCTCTCCACTGTAAAAATCCAAGATGGTTGCATGTCGGCCATTTTCTTGCATGTCGGCCATTTTCTTTTTCTGATCATTCTCAAAATTAAACATGCACAACTACAGACCAAAGGGAACCTAGTCATGTTAAATTTGAGAAATAGCATAACAAACATTCACTGTCAAAATCCAAGATGGCTGCCTGTCAGCCATTTTGTTTATCTGATCAGTCTCAAAAGTATAAACCTGCACAACCAGGGACCAAAGGTAACCTGCATATTAAACTTGAGAAAGATCTCTCTAGCACTTCCTGAGAAACAGCGATCACAAACCTCCACTGTAAAAATCAAAGATGGCTGCCTGTCGTCCATTTTGTTTATCCGATCATTCTCAAAAGTAAACCTGCACAACTACAAACCAAGGGAAACCTACATATAAAATTTGAGAAAGATCCCTCTAGCACTTCCTTAGAAATAGCCATAACAAACCTTCACTGTCAAAATCTAGATGGCTGCCTGTCAGCCATTTTGTTTATCTGATCAGTCTCAAAAGTAAATAGCACAACTAGGGACCAAGGGGAACATACATATAAAATTTGAGAAATATCTCTCCAGCACTTCCTGAGAAATATTGATAACAAGAATTGTTTAAGGACGGACGACAGACAACTGACTGAATTGATTTACCCAATAATTGTGATCATTTCAATCCGATCAGACAACCTGTTTGATATAATTACATGAAGAATAATAACATCTTATAAGTAAAACACATGTCATCTTACTGGGTACAAGTTCATTAGATTGCTTTGATTGTCCTAAAGCAACTATGTGATATTTTTTTTAAATATCAGAAAGTGACCGATAATGAGGCTTTAGCTCAGTAAAATGGCTTTATAGTCTGTAAAGACTGTATACTTACTCAGCATAACCTGCTCGCCTTGGCAGATTCTCACCAACAGTGAGGATAGTTCGAGAACTTGTACTCTTAGCCTCCTGTTGCTGTTTCTGCCCCAGGCAGAGGAAATGTGGTCGCTCATATAGGTACTTCTGTGGTTTTTTCTGCTCAGCAGTATTGTTGCTCTTTGGGACTATCCTACTGACAACACCTCCCACAAACACTTGTACCTTCCCCCACATCTTTTTCACCAAGTCAGCTCATGATCTTCTGTGGTCGTCAAATACGACATAGCAACATGCAAAACAAACAGACTTGTAATAAGTTTACATAAGTTGACTTAGCTGCGGTAACCGTAGCTTCTAGGCCTGATATCTTTTTCTTTTTTTTTAAATGTAATCAGATGGTCCGATAACAATTTAATAAAAATAAAAAATCGGGCCTAGAAGCTACGGTTCCCGCAGCCACTGTTGACTCAGATGGTTTTTTTTAGTATACTTCAAAATATAACCTCAATTGGTTGACAAAAGTCCTAATATATAATAGTCTAGGTATTTATTAATATGTATATATTTGAAATTCATTTATTAATTTAAAAATCCATATATTAATATTAAACAAATCAATACATATCAATCCACTACACATCACTGATTAATATGAAAATTCATTTAATAACACTTTCAAAAATATTCAAATATATAAAACATTTATTAATATTTAAAAAGATATTTCTATTAAAATTAACAAACAAATATATTATTATGAAAATAGTTCTTTTTCATAAGCAATGTGTAAATGTTCAACTTTTAAACCATGGCAGTATAAACACAGGGTCCTGTCAATCATTTACACCTAATACTAAAGTAATGTTACGACATATCCTGCCATGTTTTGATTCTCATGTAAAACTTTAAGCAAACCAATCACAGCACATTGAGTAGGTGATGATATATCAAGCCATTGGCCTATAGTTTGATAAGTACTGCTGTAGGCCTACATATTATCAACAATTTCAAAGGCATGACACAAAAACCAATGTATGATCGATGTGTAGTGTTTTATATAGTATTATATACAGATCATAGAGTTTTGTTTGTCCAACACCTGTGAGTATATCCTTACATTAAAGACAGTTCTTTATAAATTGATTATATGTGCACGTGGACCGCACACCTACAAATTAAACCCTGAACCAAACATAAGGCCTACTTCAGGCTAGTGTGGTCATCAGCAGCTTTACGTACACTTCCTATAGAAAACGGAAGTAAGATGCTTGTCAGTTTTGGTATGCGAAAACTGAGATGCAGAGATATAGCCTACTACGATCAATTTCAGATATTTTGCAAAGTCAATAATGATATCACCAAAGTGAAAGACACCACAAATGTTTACATAGTATTGTATATATACTAAGACGTGATCTCACCTACCGTCTGGCTGTTCTGGTGATATGGAGGGAGGATGAGAGAGTTTAGTACGAGTTAGCTCCCCTACCTTAAGGCATTTGACCCTTGCCCTGACGAGTTGACCTACATGAGTCCAAAAAATAGGTGACATACATAGTATATATATATAAAGCTGATATAAACATGATAAAGTAAAATAAACTAGCCCACGACACAAAGTTCATTTTGTTAAACTATACACTGTTTTCATTTCTTTTAATTGAACCACAAGGAAACTTTACAAAATTACCTAAATTTGAAAATTAAATTAATATTATGCCAAAAAAGTGCAAATTGAGACTTTTATTTTTTTAAACTGTCTACTTTTTTTGTAATCCATAAGTATATAATATTTTGTGTATTCTTTTTACATCAAAATGCGTTTAAAATAATGTCACATACATATCAAAGCTCACGCCCACTCTTCATTTATACACAGTGTATATCATCATTGGCGATGGCATCTTACCGAAAGTTGGTCTAAACCCCTAAAACGTGTTTAATATTACCTTTGAACACCACAGTTTAGTTTCCCAATAAAGCTGTAACAAATCCTCAGATCCCTGTGCTTTGGACATGTTTGTTTCAGTACATATAGTGACGTGTCATAAGGTTTTTTCCCCGTCATTCATTCCCCAGCATTGGATTCTACATGTTAAGTGACCGCTTATAAATAAAATTTTCCTGACTTCGTTTTTCGTCCCATTTTGATGAAATTCTGCTCACAGCTGGATAACTATTCAGTGCTTTATCAATACTATTGATACAAATAAAGTCCATATTGCTGAGCTGTTACTTCGATCTCCCCTCTGCATAAAAGTTACTTGACGTCACGTACTCCCACACTCACAAAATAAAACTTACCACAGGAAATGTTTTGGCCATTATCATTGGTAAAGTTATAGGAAACCAGGGACGTATATACTGTCCCTGTAGGAAACGGATATTAATATAAATATCACTAACAGCGGAGCTGGATAATGTTCTGCTTGTGTGCGGAATTGCATATAAAATGGAATGAAAAACGAATTTTAAGTCAATGAAAGTTATTGGGATATAAAGTAAAATAGCATAAAACCAAACATAACGTGAAAGACGTCATAATTGTTTATAGAATATATTTAATTTCAAATAAATATTCATTTTATAATTTGAAACATAATACCACAATTTTGTTTATTGTTGAAGAAAACAAAAAACGAAGGAAACATGTTACATTTGATGCTGGAAAATGGAAGTTATTGATTTAGAAATTAAAGCTAGCTCCCATTTCTGGACTTTATTTTATGGGACTAAACTTGAGGTGACCGTTAATCGAGGATAATCCGTTAATGCCCCCCTGGTCAGTAATCCACACTAATCCCGTTAATCTATACGGTGACTGAAATAAACCCTAAGCTCATTAGACATGTGTACACCCCACCTAGGGCTGGACGTGACTTGACACGTGCTCTAATTAATAGCCCCCACTTACGTTAATAGACCGGACAGTAGTTTTAACTATAGCCACAAATGCAAATCAATTCATATTATGAAATAGTCGGACAAAGGGCATTTTCTCGAACAAATTAGTGTGGACATCAGGTCCCAAAAAGCTTTAAAAAACGAAAGTGTCTACCCTATTGTTATTTCATTTTTTTCACAAACATTTAACACCGATATGCCGATAAAGAGGTATTCCTAGATAAACCTACAATATCTATAGATATACCAAAATAAGCTTAATATCTTGAAATATTTCCTTAAATGAAATTAAATAATAGAGGCACATTTAGTATACCCAATCAAGACAAATTAATTTGCAAATTTACTTATTTTCTAAGGAAGTATAGTTACAGTGTTTTTCATTCAATATATGTTCTGATGTCATTTGGTCAAATAAACGAAATAAATACTGAATAGTTCTATAACATTACCGCTGTCCGTTAGGCATCTTACTTAATACTCGTGAATTGGATGATGATCAAAAGCTATTCAGCAACCCCTATACTCTCTCATTGTCTGTTTGTAAGATAGGAAACACGAACTTGAGCACGATGGCGATTGATGTTTTAAAAAGAGTTAAGGAATACTTTTTTTGATTATTTTTTATTTTGTTTTTAAATCTCTCCAAAATTACATCCAATCATTGTGAGTGTCGGTGTAAGATTTTTACAAAAACAGATATTTGATGTTTTGACCAAAATAGTTTGTTGTACATTTTTTAGCTGGATATTTAGTATTAACTTTTCAGTAAAGGTTTGTGAAAGTAGCTTCTGGTTATTTCCCATTTATTTAACTTTTCTTTTAATCTTCATCGATTTTTTTTCCCATTGAAGTATCACCATTGCAAACTTTGAAATGTGTCTTTTCGGGTATATAAAGGTTGATTTCCTAGTTTAAAATCAAGCTAGGATTAATTGGGACACTCTGGGCTATGGTAGTTGATCTTCACTTTGATGTAAGACTTATAGGTCATTGTGGAGAATTTGTACCACTTGTACTGTCAAGCCTATACACCGCCCAACTTTACCATCTCTATCCCTAATTCCACCAAATCACTGCGGGATATCTAACGAAAACCTTGACATTGGGGAGATGATGGTTTCAATCTATTTTTAAATATGTGTGGTTTTACACGCCATTCGTATTCCTATCGTTTTCTCCACCAGTTAAAATATCAAAACAAACCAACAATATTAAAATAAAAAGCAGACAACACAAAATTTACAGAACATGGACTTGCCATGTTAATGTTAAAATTAAAGCTAGCAATGCATGAGTTTCGATTACGGAGAGTTGTTGAAAGTGTAATAAGAAATTTTGGTAGGGAAACAGTGAATTTATTGATGTGCAAAATACAAAAAAAAAGAAAATGGGAAACTTTCATATCAAATTTTACTCTTTTTTTATAACCATTATGTAAATAAAGCAATTTTTAGATCATTAATTGATTGACGTTAAATCTAGAGCGAAAATGAACAAAATACAATGACTTATGATATTAAAAAATAGTGCATGTCATTCGATTTTGAAATGCCCGATTATGCGAACCTTTTGGAGGAAAAACCCAGTTCTTTCATAAGTTTACACCAGTATGTCGGTATTTGAGTACATGCCCCGATTTTATGGTTGGCTGACACATACTACGCACGTATTTCCTTGCCGCATTAGTGAGGTGTCGATTTCCCCGAGGTTCTATGTCAGGTAGTCGGAGTACACAGTGTTAAATGTCAACTGTGCACAACGCCTACGCAACACATTGTGGGTTACTCTCAGTAGTTACGGGCGCTCTCAGCAGTCACGGACACTCTCAGCAGTCACGTACAATCGACGTAGCATACACTCAACATACATAGATGCGCGCGCATGATGATACAGTACAAGCATGCAATATCATGATACTCTCATGCAACAACAAAAGCTAATAGATATAATTAACAGACGAAGTATCGTAACATTCGAACCTATGACATTCTACATACTTATCATTTGCACGAGAGGCCATGAAATAAAGGCGAATATGTCCATCTCTGATATAGCTTTAGAATTAAACCGTGTTATTTTGCTCGTACAATTTCCTGAAGTGATATGGCTGATATCAAATTAGAAATTGTCAATTTACGTCTTGAAATAATTTTGTAATTCAATAGGCTGCATACTATTTCAATGATGTTTACACAACAGCCTTATTTATCTAATTTAACACCACATTTTTGTATGTAATTATATCTCTTAAAATATCAAAATGCATTTGCTTACAAAAAAATAAATTAAAAAAAACACCCATGTATATGTAGATATTATGACCTACCTGGCACGTGGTTCGTGGTCATTCCTAGGTACTGTTCAGTCCCGTCGTCGCTACCCAATGTACGTACCCGGACTACGGCCAGGCTTTATACCCCCAGTGACCAGCAGTATTGGACAAGTTACATCTCGTGGGTCAAGCCGCTCGCTCGACATATATTTCATTATTTAAGAAGTTAAGTTTTTGTTATATGCCGACTGGTATAAACTCGTACATAGGGGTTAGTCGGCTTACAAGTTAAATAATTGGCCCCCTCCGACGTTCAGACTTATCGGGATTAAAGACTTCATCAAGTCTCCTACACTTAACGTACACCTTTCTGTGACAAGAAGTTACTTGAAAGATATTGTATAATTACAGGATCAAGACTTTGTATATTTCATTGTAAAACTAGCTGATTTTTTTCGGTTTCTAAATTCTCTCCTTTCAGTCAAACGAAAGAATGTATTTCATGTCCAGCTATGATTGAATGAGTTATTTACAAATATAACTGTTGTGAAACCCTCGGGCTCTTGCCTTCGTACGATTCCTTTATGTTAAAAATCAAAATCAACATATATTTCCATAGTAAAGATTATATAAGAGCGCTTTTGCGATTCAGATATTTACAAGTGTCCGAACTATATTTTTCTTGCAATTTGTTTCTAACATAAAATGTATCTGCTTGTGATCTACGTCATGTATAAAAATTAAAACATTATTGGGATGTTGCTTTGCCCGAAATCTACAGTATGTGTATATATGTAAAACATGTTTCATAGCTCTCCTTGTTCTATTACTGAAGAGATGTGAAAAAGCGAAAGGCCTTGATAAAGAAGCAGATGGCTCCGAAAATTTGACAATTTGTTTGTCCGCACTGCGGCTATTACTCCTTGGCTTACATTTAGCCATAGTCTGAATTGTCGGAATGAGGATGATACACATGTATTTCAGTTTGAATCACATTTATTGCATATTATGATTGGATTGGAATT